TTTTGGGGAATTTTAGGGGTTTTTTTGCTTACTGAGTACCGGGTACATGAGTATTGTGTAATCGGTAACCGTTTATCGGGTATTAATTTTAATTTATTTCCAAAAATATTTGATTTTCCACACTCCTGAAGCATTTTTAAAATTCATTTGTAATAAATCTAACATTTATTTTAAGTACTCGGTATTTGAGTAACCGTTTGTCATACATTCAAATTTAATAAAATTGGATTTTAAAAAAAAAATTTTCGACTTATTGAGCTACGGCTACCCGATTATTTTGATATCGGTAACCGGTTATCGGGTATTTATATTCAATTTTTTTTTTCTTAAAAAAATCTTAATTTTTTATTTGTCATGAAGAATTGTTTTTTTTATATAGAGTAAATGATATTTAATAAATGAGTATTGAGTAATCGGTAACCGATTATCAGGTATTCACATTTAATTTATTTCCATTTTAATATAATAAATTATTTTCATAGAGTAGGGGATATTTTTCTAACCACATTTTATTTCTATTTTTTTATTTTCTTTTATACCCTTTTTCTTCATTTCTTCTTTTCCATTCCAATTCACTTTACTATTTCTTTTCCAATTTCCTAGTCCTTAACAACATAGTAATGTCCCTTATGGCCATCAATAACAATAATTGTCATTCAATTACTGCCTTAGGCAAGCACACAAAATCATGCTTCATTCCCTCGCGCACACACACTACCACACATACATAGGCACCCGCACCCACTCAAAGTAAAACCTGGTTTGGTGGTTGGGTGTTTTGATGGGGGAAAACCAACCCCTCTTAAAATATTCCTTACTTTAGTTACTAAGTACTAAAGTTTAGTATTCATCAATATATTTTAAGCTCTCTATCACACACTCTCTCCTACTTTGCTTGAATGTCTCTCTCACATGTTTACGTTATCCCAATGTTTGGTTTTCCCATTTCTAAAACCCTGCAAGAGCTTGGTTTATTTCTGTCACAGCCAAACCGTTGTTTGGTTTGGTTGGCTCCCTCTCGCTCTCTCTCTCTCATCCTTGTTGGTTTCTCTGTGAATAAAGGGGGGTTTTATTCTCTCCATCTGTGTGTGTAATAAAGCTTGCATTGCTTTGTTCTGTGTGTACCGTTGCTATATTTAAACTTTACTTTGCTGCTGTTGTTGTTGCTGCTGTTTGAGGTATACTTTCGTTGTGAGTCAGGTTGATGACTTGAAGTGGGTGGTTTGTTGTTGGTGTTGTCGTCGTTGTTGTTCGTGTTCTTGCCTGACTATGACTATCTAGGCTACAACCCCCACTTTGTTTATTTGCCGTGTATTTATGGCTTCGGTTTTAGTACTTAGTTGTTGTTGTTGTAGAAGACAATATTTGGTTTTGCAGTGACAAAGTCGTGGATTATAAAAAAAAACGAAGAGGTTCTTGGCTTTCGTTGTTATTGTTGTTGTTGTTGCGGCTGCATTTACAAGTCAGACTGTGTTGTGTGGGGTGGGTTGTGCAGGCAAGCTGACAGTCAGAGTTTAGTTAAGGAGGTGCTACGTGTATTTAGTGGTGTAGCTTCATTTGTGACACTCGTCTTCAATTTTTTTTTTCTAAATCTATCTTTAACATAGTTTCAATTATTTTTCATTGTTGTTGTTTTTTTTCTTATCTAATATTTACCGAGTGCCGTACTTTGAGAGAGTACTTTTGAACAAACGTCGTCGTAAGTTTAACTTTATTTTCGTTCATGTGAGACTATGTGTGTGTGTGACTGTGTGTATTAGACACTGTTTGATTATTTTGTTTGTGTGTTTCATCATCATTATAAACGCGGTATTATACATGGTCGAGCAGAGTTTATCATGGCACAATTTTTTTCTACCATTTTTCCGCCCCGGTTCTAAAGTATTCTCTAATCTATAGTTAAAAGAGATTAGATAAAAAATACAAAACCTGTGACTGTGTTTGATTACCACCTTTAGTTTTTATGGCCAGTTTTTTTTTTGTGGTAATTAGAGTGGGGGTTTGATTGAAAAAAAAAAAATATTTTTTTGAGTAAAGAAAAATAAGAAAAAATTAAATTGAAATTAAAAAAATAATTGAGGAAAAAAATTAAAATAAATTTTTCAAAATTAAAAAAAAAATTACAAAATAATTTTTTGACAATTTTAAAGATTTTTTTGTTGTAAAGAAAAATAAAAGTTAATAAAAAAAAAAAATAGAAAAAATTAAATTTAAAATAAAAAAAGGAAAAAAATAATTGAAAGGAAAAAAATTTTTAAATATTTTTTTAATAAAAAAATCCTAAATAAAAATAATTTTCTTAAAACTTATAAAAAATTTAAAAAATATATAATTATTTTTTAAAGTTTACTAAATTTTGCAGCCCAGAGAAAAATATTTCTTTTTTTTGTTCCAGAAAAAATTATATTTAAAAATAAAAATATTTGAAACAGCTGATTTTTTCAATTTTTTTTTAAAATCTCAAGAAATATTATTTTACTTTTAAAATCGATCTTTTATGTAAAAAAAAATTATTCAAAAAATTAAAAAAAATGAAAAAAAAATTAAATTTTTTTTTTTATAATAAAAAAAAATCTCGCCTAAAAAGTTTTTTTTTATTTTTTTTTTTAAACTTCAAAAATTTTCAAAATTTTAATAAATAAAATTTTCAACATACAAAAAAATATTTTTTATAATTAAAAAAATTAAAACAAAATTTTCAAAATTTATTTTTTAATTAAAAAAATTAATACACATTTTTTATACTTCAAAAATGCAAATTATGAACAATTCAAATAATAAAAGAAAATTGTAGAAACATTTTTTAACTTTAAAAATTTGTTTTTTTAAACAATACTTTTAATTAAAAAAAATTAATTTCGTTCTAAAAAGTCCATATAAGTAATTCCTAAGCCATAAAAGACCTTTTGAAATAATGTTAAAATATTAAATAAATAGAAAATTAAATATCGAAAAAAAATTTTTTTTAAGATTTTTCGAAATTAAAAAAAATAGAATTAAAATTTTTTTCCACAAGGAAATTTTAGGACGTAAATACAAATTATTTTCAAAATTTAGTACGAAATTCAATTGTTCTTCCCCAAAAGGTCCTTAGTTTTTTGAATAGCTATATAGTCTTTCCGAAAAAAAATAATTATTTAAAATTTATTTAGACCTTTAAACATATTCTAAAACGTATCTAATAGGTATATTATTTTTTCGACATTAAAAATCAAATTTTAAATTTTTTCTTTTTATTTAGCTTAAAATGTAAGCCTTTCAGAAGGAGTAAAAAAGTAGTAAAAAAATGTTTAAAGACTTTGGAAGTCGTTAAAAATGTTTTTCAAATATTTTTATGGGCTCCAAAGTTCTTCAAAATAATTTAATTTTTTTTTTGTCCAGCATAAACCACTTTAAAAATCTTAAAAAATCGATTTCTTGGCTTAAAATATTTTATTTTTTTTTTTGCTCAGCTCAAAACCACATTAAAATTTTTTCAAATACCCACCTTACATGATTTTTTGCAAGAGAGCCGACTTGAGCATGACTGTTATCATTATTATTGTTTTACGATAATTGATAACTGATTTTTGCAAAACCCCATTAGTCATGCCGATTTGTTTTGTTATCATTCATATTTTCGTTCATTCATGTCTTAAAAGAGAAACGAAATGTTTTTTTTTAATACCAAACTCCTTTACGTACTCTCTCCGTATAAAACTGTCTTTCTCTTTTACAATTATTTTAATTTTTTCTAATTCACCTGCTGTCCACCAACACCATTCAGTTGTTTATCAAAAGCCAATATCAATCTAATCAAAATGATGTTTTGTTTACCTTTTACCATACACAACAACAACAACAAAACAAACAACAACTTTAATACACGAGGCTCCACAAATGTCGTCGTAGTTGTCTTCATCATCGTTTGCTGGTGTGTTGAATGATTTAAAGCAGAACAAGCGAACAACGACCACCACCTAGGCACACACACGCACTCACACGAGGCTCACAGTCGTAAAAAACCCCCCTTAAAAACAAAATCAAGCGCGTTTTTTTATCTAACCCCCACACAGCCATACACACACACAGAGAGTCAGTCTCACGTTGGCCCAACACCCTACCAAACAACGGCATATGAAGCCGCCTAACTAACAAGGCCTCCCTCATAAGTTTCTTTATTTCTCCCTCCCCGTGTGTTGTTTGCCGTTTGTTTATTTTCCTGGCTGTAATGAAATTATTTGTTCCTTTGTTTTTATAACAACAACAACAACTACTCCTACTGTGTGTAAGGTGCTTGAATTGAACAAAACTCCTCATGCAGTAAGCAAGAAACAAGCAAGCCATATGTTTTGTTTTGGTTTGTTGTTTAGGTTTAACTGTGTCTCCTGTGTAGTAGGGATTGAGCGTGCTCTGATGGCTGCTCTCTCGGTTTATCTCCCCCACACGAGTCACACACACACGTACTAACACACATACTCTGCATTGGTTTAGTTAAGTGGAGCAAAACACTGTTTTGTTTTGAACGAACAGTGTCTCCTTTAGTAGGGATTGAGCGGGCTCTTTTGGCTCTCTCGGTTTATCTCCCCCACACGAGTCACACACACGTACTAGTTAAGTGGAGCAACACTGTTTTGTTTTGAAACGAAGCACACACAGATTGTGTGTTGGGAGAGAGGGAGACAGAGAGACCATAACAAAGAACGAGTTAAATCTCAAGTGCTGAGCACAACTTATTACTGTATTACTGTTGTTGTTATATACCACCACTAGGGAGTGTGTGTGGTGGCACAGCCCCTTTTGTGTTGTTGTTGTTTTTGTAGTGTGATGATGAAAACACGCACAACCTCCAGTTACGAGTGTGGGGTAAATGGGAGTTTAGTTCAATTTCGGCTTTGACGCGATCAACTCTTGTTTTTTCCGTTAAGGAAAATCAAAAATTAAAAAATAAAAATTAAAGAAAAAAAAATACCAAAAAATAATTTAAAAAAATTACCGTGTGTTGTTTCCCCTTTACAGCTTCAAAACGTCGTCTCCAAGCCGAATGAAAATGGAAAAAACTCCCCGTTATACACAACGGGAGCGTAATATGGTATTGGGCTATGCGGCCCAATACAAGGATATCATCGAAAATAAACGTACCGATGCTGAATCAAATCGTAAAAAGGATGAAGTATGGCGTCAAATTGCCAAAGAGTTCAATGCTCGCGTCTATCATCAACGTTCATCGAAACAGTTACGGCAATTATATAAAAATATGAAACTGCTGTTGAAAAAGGATCTATGCGGTGAGGGTAAAGGTAATCGTACTTTTATGGATTTACTCAATACAATATCACAACAAGAATCCGTTGCACAATATATATCCGAACAAATGTCACCGAATGGTTATAGCAATGGTGGTAGCCGCCAGAAATATGAGGAAGACTTCGATGATTCAAAGGTAAGTTTTTTCTATGCCGAAATTGAAAATGAAGAGTAATTGGTGAAGAGAAAAAACAAAAACAAAAATTGTGATAAGAAAGTAGGAAAAAATGATAATCGTAGTAACACAGTGGAACAATGGGGTTTAAAAAATAATTAAAAAATAATTTAAAATAAAAAAATATTTGAAAATTAAAAAAAATATTTGAAAATTAAAACAAAAATTAAAAAAAAATAAATAAAAAATAATAATTAATAAAAAAATAATTTAAAATAAAAAAATATTGAAAATTAAAAAAAAATATATTGAAAATTAAAAAAATAATATTTGAAAATTAAAAAAAAATAAAAAATAAAAAATAATTTAAATTAAAAATTAAAAAAAATTATTTGAAAATTAAAAAATAATATTTGAAAATTAAAAAAAATAAAATAAAAACGGACTTTAAATAAAAAAAGAAATGTGTGAATGAAAATAATTGTGTATTCCAATTAAAAATAAAAATATTAAAAATAGAAATACGACAAATTAAAAAATAATGAGTTGTAAAAAATAATAAACAAATTTGAATATAATAATTACAAATATAAAATAATTTGAAAACATAAAATAATTAAATATAAATAAAAAAATACTAAAAAGAACAAGAAATAAATACAAATTATTCAAAATAAAAAATACTAAAAAGACCAAAAAAAAAATAAAATTTTAAAATTAATTGAAAATTAAAAAAAAATAATTAAAAAAAATATTTCAGGACATAACAAATACATATTAAAATCATAATAATAATTAAATGATATACATTTCAATATTAAGAAAATATTAAAAAAAAAATTAAAAAAATAAAAAAATGAAAACAAAATATTGAAAATTACCAAAAAAAGATTTCAAAAATATTTTAAAATTAAAAAAAGAAAAAAATAAATTAAAAACAAATAATTGAAAAATTTAAAAAAATTAAATTTTAATTTAAATACAATACATTTGAATATTAAAAAAATTAAAAAAAACAAATATAATAAAAATTAAAAAAAAAATCAAAAATAAAAAAATATTTGAAAATTACAAAAAAAAAAGATTTCAAAAATATTTGAAAATTAAAAAAAAAAGGAAAAATAAATTAAAAAGTGCTCGAAAAACTGTAGTTAAAAATAATCTTAGATATAAACAGTATGAAAAAATTAAAAAGTATTTAAAAATATATACCTGTATATTAAATATAAAGGTATTTAAAAAAAAAAATAATAAAATTTAAAAAATAAATAAAATTTTAACCCGTTTCACACCTGTGTAATGCGATACGAATATTAGTTATCTGTGAGTGTTTTTCAGAAGTCAGATAGCAATGAAAAATCTGGGAAATGACCAACACACCCATTCATACCTCCCCTCCCTTTCCCCAGTCCCAAGTGGACTTTTTTTTGATAAATTAATTACAAAACTCATTGAACACTTGTCGTCAACAGAGAATTACCTTTGAGGAGGTCATTTTTATATATTCAGTAAATGTTTTTCAACAAATTCTGTGATTTGAGATTTCACCTAATTTGGGGATTTTTTCAATTTTTTTAATAATTTTTTTTTTGATTTTTTTTTTTTAATTTTCTTATATACTGCAATTAAATGCTAATATTAATATTTATTATTTCATAAAAAAATTTTTCAAAAATTCTGGAATTTTAAAAATCCCCAATTTGGTTTTTTTTTCTTAAATTAAAAAAAATCTCACCCATCGATTTTTTTTTTAAATTTTCTTATATACTGGAATTAATTGCGAATATTAAAATTTATTATTTCATAAAATAATTTTTAAAAAATTCTGGTTTTTCAAAAATCCCCAATTTGGGGATTTTTTTTAGACTCTTAAATTCTAGGAAAATTTCAATTGCTTAAATTCTTTAGTCATTTTTATATACATTTCAGTAAAAAATTCACAAAAATTCCGCATTTTGAAAATCCCCCAGTGGGGATTTCAAGATCCCTAATTGGGGAAAATTTCAAAAAACCCAAAAATTTCATGATGTATCAATAGATTTATTTTTATATTCTTTACACTAAAAATATTTGGGAAATTCTACAATAAAAATCCCTACTGGGAGATTTTCAGTTCCCCGTTTCGGGGAAATTTATTTACTTACTATTTTTTACTTCACAAAATCATAAAATCATAAAATGAGGAAATTTTTTTTATATATATTTTCATTAAAAAAAATCGAAAACCGATAATCCCCAAATGTGGGGATTTTGGAAAATCTCAAAATATTTGAGGATTTTGGAAAATCTCAAAATATTTCCGGATTTTTATTTTAAAATGTCTTATTAATTATTTTAATACTTCCCCTACCATTGTATATTAGTTTTTCTGTTTTTATAAAGAAATCCCCAAATGTGGGGAATTTTCGAAAATCCCATTTTTTCGATTTTAAGAAATTCTAGAAATTTTTTTAAAAATCGTCACTTTTAAGGTCAACTATTATACAAAGGAATGCAAAAAATAATTAAATGCTTAAAAAAATCGACAAATTCTGGTATTTCAAAAATTGCCAAAATTGGAAATTTTTCGAAAAATCAATATTTTTTTTTAATTTGTTCTATTATTATTTTTTTTTTTGAATTCTCAATTATCAATATTATTACATAAAATGAGCAATTTTTAATGTTTATTAAAAAAAATCTGGAATTTAAAAATAATCACCAGAATTGGGGATTTTTTTAAATCCCAAAATTGTGCGGAATTTTTGCTTCAATATTTCCTAACTAATGGATTCTGGGGTTAAAAACCTCCAAATGTGGATTTTTTTTCGAAAAATCCCAAAAATTTCCCATAATAGGAATTTCTTCAAAATCCCATAATTTCCCCATAATGGGAAATTTTTCTAAATCCCTGATCTTTCGAATATTTTTTTTAATTTTTAAATTTTTTATATGTTTACTATGTACTGAAAATCTGTATATTAGTGATTTTCTGAAAATCCCAGAATTTCCTCATAATGGGGAATTTTTGAAAATCCAAGATTTTTGGGATTTCTTTTAATTTTTTTATTATTTAAATATTTTTTATAAATTGTATGTATATATATGTATCCCCAATTTTGGGGTTTTATGAAAATCCCAGAATTTCCCCACAATGGGGAATTTTTGAGAAACCGCAGAATTTTGGGATTTCTTTTAATTGTTTTGATTATTAAAATATTTTTTTTAATTGTATGTATTGAAAATCTCCAAAATTAAGATTTTTGAAAATCCCAGAATTTCCCCATAAAGGGGAATTTTTTGAAAAACCTCAGAATTTTGGGATTTCTTTTAATTTTTTTTGATTATTAAAATATTTTTTTTTTTAATTGTATGTATTGAAAATCTCCAAAATTAAGATTTTTGAAAATCCCAAAATTTCCCCCTAATGGGGTATTATTGGAGAATCACCGATTTTTGGGATTTTTTCTTAATTTTTTAATTATTAAAATTTTTTTATGAATTGTGTGTATTGAAAATCCCCAAATGTTGGGGATTTTTGAAAATCCCAGAATTTCCTCATAATGGGGAATTTGTGAAAAACCTCAGATTTTTGGGATTTTTTTAATTTTTTAAATATTTATTAGCTATTTTATACTATATTTGCTGGGATTTTGAAAATCCCCCAATGTGGGGATTTTTGAAAATCCCAGATTTTTAGCGGGATTTTTTTCAAAAAAAATTTTTTTTTAATTTTTTAAATTAATTGCATACTAATCCCTTTTAGTTTTTACCTTTTCAGCATCCGGCCCTCAATTACGATGGCATGGACCACGATGTCATTGTAATTAAATCGGAAGATATTAGCGGCGACGAACACTCCAACAATGGTGAGGCCATGGATGAGGATGACGATGATGATTGTATTAGTCCCAAAGATATACCCGAAGTGTGTTTAGAGGAAGAGGATGAGGAGTTGTTTGCCACAGACCTGAGGCAACAACAACAGCAACAGTCACAACAAAATCTGCAACAATTACAACAAAATGCCAAATCCCAGCAGCAGCAACAACAACAAATGTCATCACAAAATTGCAATTCTTCTGCAACAACAACACCAAATGGCAACCTCAGTATGCCCCAACAGCCTGAGATTACGATACAAAATATTGGTGGAATTCGAGTGGGCAGTATCGGCAGCATGGCCAATATGAAGGCCTTGGCGAATTCGCTGAACAATAACAACAACAATAGTAGTAGTAGTAATAATAACAACAACAACAATACCCCGAATGGTTCACTTAGCATTACCCCGCATGCAAATGGCGGAGGTCCTGCCACCAATGGTCAGGCCATGAATTTGCGCCAGGCCAGTGCCGAACAACAGCTGCTGCTCAGTGGCCTGGGTTTGAATCCGGTGAATTCTATGGATTCGGGCTCACGCATGCCTAACCTGACACGGGGTATTCCCGTGTCCGCATCAGCTGGCGGAGTCGGCACCACAAATGGACCCACCACAAATCACCTGCAGCCTGGAAATCTTCAAAATCTTTCGCATCATTCCACCACCCAACAGCTGTTACTGAATATTAATGGCCTGGCGGCGGCAGCAGCTGCTGCCGGAGCACCCTTTACCCCGCCGGGTAAGGGCTATGGTGGTGGCAGCCATCATCATCATCACCACTCCAATAATCATCCCAGGCAAACCTCCACCCCGAATAGTTTGAGTCAGAAAAATTCACAAAATGATTATTTCCTGCTGGGCATTGAGGAGCGAAAACTGAAGATCGAACTACTGAATGCCCAGATTGACTATTGGAAAAAATTGACCAAGAAATTGGATGAGAATCCTGGCCATGCTCCCAACCCCTCTTGTATGTGCCACTTCCCCGGTAAGCCCAATGGTGTGCAGACACCTTCATCGACCAGCTAGGAGGAGGCGGACGAGGTGGTGGAGCAGGAAGAGGTGGAGGAGCAGGAAGAGGTTGCAGAAGAAGAAAATTTAGAGCATCATGGGGAGGAGGAGGTGCATGCGGAAGATGACCCCGAAAATGCTGCTGGTACCTCCAGTATAAATCTCCTGAGACCTCTGAACTATGAAAATATCCAGCTGGATCCCGAGGTCCCAGTGAGTTGTGAGAAAAATCCCCGCAGCAGCAGCTCTAGCCAAAAGTTCAAAAGAAATACCAAAAATTTAGAAATTGTAGATATAAGTCAGACCATTAAATGGCATGAAATCATAGAGGATAGTGATGAAAATGAAGGTGAAGGAGAAGAAGATAAGAAAAATGTGAAAAGCCATCATCAGCAGAATGATCCTGAACCTCAAGAGCAGGAGGTTCAGGCTGTGGAAAATGATTCCGAAGATGTTGATGATTTTGAACAGGAATTACGCAAAATATTACAGAGTAAAAAGCGACGAAGAAGAAGAACAAAACAGAATTGAAAGAAAAAAGGCTGCACACAATGAAAGACTGAAATAGGAAAAAATGGAAAAAAAGGAGAAGGAGAAAAAAATTTAAAAAAAAATTGGATTTCAAAAAAAGGGATTTGGAAAAATAATATTTAATTTTTTTTTTTTCAATTTTTTTTAATTAAAAAAAATTTGGATTTCAAAAAAAAAAAATTAAATGAGATTTGAAAAAATGAGAACAGACAGTTGTCATTTTTTTTTAATTTAAAAAAACTGAGAAGAAAAAAATTGGATTACAAAAAAAAATGAAATGGGATTTGGAAAAATTATATTTGACAGCTGTCAAAAAAAATTTTTTTGTCATATATTTTGTTTTCAAAAAAAAATTTTTTGTCATATATTTTTTTTTCAAAAAAAAATGTTTTGTCATATATTTTTTTTATATTAAAAAAATTTGTAAATTTTTTGAATTAAAAGAAATAAATGAATTAAAAAAATGGCATCAGAATATTTGACAGTTGTCAGCTGTCAAGAAATTTTTTTGTCATAATATTTTTTTTTCTAATTTAAAAAAATCAAATGAAAAAATTTAAAAAAATATGATTACAAAAAAATTAGTTGACGCAATTTTTTAAATTAAAAAAAATAAGTTAAAAAATTAAATTTAAAAAAATAATTTAAAACAATCTCATAAATATTTTAATTAAAAAATCGAAAGGATTTAAAAAAAATGAACGTGCCTGTTTTTTTTCCAAATTTAATTTCTTTTTTTTTTGTAATCCAAATAATTTTTTTTTAATTTAAAAAAAAATGTCCAAAAAAACATTTTTTGAAAACCAGTTTTTTAAACTGTCCCAAAAAAGTTGTTTATATAAAAAAATTTTATTAAAAAAATTTGCTTTCAAAAAATCCCCCCTCACAAAAAACAAAACATTTTTTTTTTTCAAAACACCTTACCCAACTCATTACTAGCCTGTAGCACACACAGAGCATTCAATGTAAACACAATTGTATATAAAAAAAAAACATTTTTTATTAGCTAAAATTATACCAAAAATAACAACACAAAACAAACACAAATTCAATTTAAAAAATTTTAATTATTAAAAAAAAATAATTTTAGGAAAAAAATATTTTCAGAAAAAAATTAATTGAAAAAAAAAATATTTTTTTTTTGTAAAAAAAAAATCAATTGAAAAAAATATATTTTTTGTAAAAAAAATAATTTAAAAAAATGTTTAAGAAATTTAACAAAAATTAAGGAAATTCAAAATAATTATATAATGAATTTTTTACACAATTTTTAAATATTAAAAAAAACAAAATGTCTCTATAAAAATTTAAATGAAAAAAATTAATTTTTATATAAAATATTTTTTCATAGAAAAGTATTTTTTTTTTAGAAAATGTTAATTAAACAAACAAATGGAATGTAAAAATATTTTTTTTTTAATTGCGGAAATTTTATATATTTTTATAATATATTTTTAAAAAAATATTTATATTTTATAACAGAAATTGTCATGAACAAAAAAAAATTTCCCTTAAAAAAATTATTAATATTAGAAAATTTTCCCTAAATTTGTAAATTAACCTCAAAAATGTTAAAACCCTATGTCATTTTATACATGCCAATTACTTTAGTATTTTTATAAGTATAAATATTACAGTTAGCGATTTATTATGTTTGGTGACCCATAGTGAAATTCTCTAAAGAATATTTCCTTCATTGACACCTTGCCCCTAAAATGAAAAATAATAGGAAAATTTCTTAAATTTTGAAAATTAACCTCAAAAATGTTAAAACCATTTGTCATTTTATATATAACCAAATTGCTTTGCCTTTAAAATTGATATAAATATTGTAGTAAGCGATTTCTTATGTTCGGTGACCCCTAATGAAATCCTCTAGAGAATATTTCTTGCATTGGCATCAAAAGCCTCGGACTAAGTTATGTAGGGAAATTCTCCACATTTTAAAACTAACCTCAAAAAAATATTGTAATCGCAATCATTAACTTTATGCAATCAAATTGCTTTTGCAATTTTAAAGGTATAAATATTAGGTTTAGGAATTTCATTTGTTCCCATAAAATCATAAATATATCCTTCAGAAAAAAATGAAAAATAATAGGGAAATTCGTTAAATTTTGAAATTAACCTCAAAAAATGTTATAAGTATTTTTCATTTTATTCATTTAAATTGCTGTGCCTTTTAAATTCATATAAAAATTGTAGTTACGGATTTTCTTTGTTCAGAAACTCATCGTAAAATTTTATGGAGAATATTATCTTCATTGACACCCAGTTCCTAAAATGATGAATAATAGGAAAATTCCTTAAATTTGAAAATTAATCTCAAAAATGTTAAAACCATTAGTCATTTTATACATCACGATTGCTTTTGCATTTTTATTGATATAAATATTATAGTTAGGGATTTCATTTGTTTAGTGACCCATAGTGAAATTTTCCAGAGAACAATTTTTTCATTGGTATCAACACCCTAGGACGAAGTTATGTAGGAAAATTCTCCAAATTTTGAAACTAACCTCAAAAATTGTCTTTAACTTTATGCAAGCAAATTATGTTTGCATTTTTATTGCTATAAATATTGTAGTTAGGCGTTTTATTTGTTTGGAGACCCATAGTAAAATTTTATGGAGAATATTACCGTCATTGACACCCAGCCCCTAAAATGAAGTATAATAGGGAAATTCGTTAAATTTTGAAATTAACCTCAAAAAATGTTATAACCATTTGTCATTTTATATATTACGCTGGCTTCTGCATTTTTATTGATATACAAATTGTAGCTACGGATTTCATTTGTTCGGTGACCCTTAATTAAATTCTCCCAGCAATATTTCTTTCATTGGCATAAAAAGCCTAAGCTGAAGTTTTGTAGGAAAAATTGCCACATTTTGAAATTAACCTCAAAAAATTGTAATACTAATCAATAATATTTTGCAAGCAAATTACTTTTGTATTTTTATGGCTACAAATTTTATAGTTAGGGATTTCATTTGTTTGGTGACCCCTAATGAAATTCCCTAGAGAATATATCCTTCATTAGCACCCAGCCCCTAAAATGATAAAAAATAGGAAAAATCGTTATATTTTGAAATTAACCTAAAAAAGTTTATAACATTTTTTTTCATTTTACACAACCAAATTGTTTTGTCATTTTTAAAGGTATTAATATTATAGTTAGGGATTTCATTTGTTCGGTGACCCCTAATGAAATTCTCCAGAGAACATATCCTTCATTGGCATCAAAACCCTAATTTCAAGTTTTCTAGGACAATTTGCTAGATTTTGAAATTAACCTCAAATTAATTAAAAACAATTTTGAAGGGAAACAAATTGGTTTTTGACAATTGTAATTTTTTTTAATTTTTTTACATAAAAAATATATTTTTAAATTAAAAAATATAAATTTAAAAAAATATTTTTTATTTTTTTTTTTTATGATTTTTTTTTATTAAAAAATTATGGAGACATTTTGTTTTTTTTTTTAATATTTAAAAAATATCTTTATATAATATTTTTTATTATAAAAAAATATTTTGTGTATTGTAATCATTTTTTTTTGTATTAATAATAAGTTTTGTTTTTTTTTTATAAAATTTTATATTAGAAAAAAAAGAAACAAATATCTAATTGTATGTTGTACAAAAAAAAATGAAAAAAATGTATGTGGTTCCTAATCTAGTCCTTTATATTATATACAAAAAATATATATATGAAAAAAATATATAAATAAAATAATAATTCTTATAAAACACAAAAATACGCACCTTTAATGGAGGGTGGTGTATATAGATTAAATGTATACAAAAAATAAAAATAAAAAAATGTATTATTTACTAACACAAAAAAAAACTACTTAAACCAAAAATCACAATTAGTTAAAATTAACAAAACTAATTTTTTATTTTAATATAAAAAAATTGTACTTAAAACCAAAAAAACTATGTTGCCATATACCCAAAGAAAACCAATGAAACCAAAAAATTAAGAAATATTTTTTTTGTAAAACATAACCTCAAAATGAAACCAACAAAAATTAAGAAATATTTTTATTGTAAACCATAACCTCAATGTGTTTTTAGTTGTAAAAATCCTCGCCAACCCAACCCAACCCAACCCTTATCTTGTATGCCAATGTTTTGTAATTCTTTGCTTGCCATATTTAATTTTAATTATACTTATAATTAATTTTTATATAATAATTTAATTATAATTAATTTTTGTTTTAATTTTTTTAAGTCTTATTTTAATATTTTTTGTTTATTTAGTTTTTAAAAAAATTATTTATTAGTTTTTTTTCTCGTTCATTATTTTTTTATTGTTATTCTTTTTTTTCTATTTTAATTTTTGTATTATTTTATAGAAAAAATTATATTTTAATTTATTAATATTATTTGTAAAAAAATACTGAAAGGACAAACTAAGGTCCTTAATGGCCTCCTTTAAAAAAATTTCTAATAGCCCCTTAGTATTCACATTTAATATGT